AGCTCTACTGTCAAAACATGTATGCATTACAAAATCTACTTCTCTGCACAGTTTTAGCAGGAAGTCGTATTTTGATATTGAGTAAAACATATTACTTATAATAAATACAATAATAAGTGCACATAATATAAGCATTAGCACATACATTAATAAAGGATATGTCCCCTGATGAGATGTAAAATGACTGAAAACACTATAGCTAGGCCTACAAAATGCTTTGGACTTTTTTTCCTCTGAGAACTGTAGTGACTGCAGTGAAATCTGATTTTCTTTTGCAGATATTTAACTTTTAAAACATGGATTTTTGTAAGATTGTAAGATCGTAAACAAATGGGAACTTAGGATCAAATAGGGTTTAGTTAGGTGCCTATTAGGGTGCCCACCAGATGCGGTCAGTATGATTTGGCTAAGAGGAAATGGCTGTTTTTTTGACACACATCTGATGCTTCAGATGTAGCTTGTGTTTAAGAATTAAACAGTAATAAAAATAATACTATTAAATGCAAGAAGAGCTGCTAATCTAGAACTCTTTGCACCAAGACACTCAGAGGTTGACTCCAGGAGAGGTCTGCTGTTGATCTTAGTTGAAGAGTTGTGTGTCAAGATAATTCCTGTCAACATCTTCTAAGACATGTATGTGGAACAAATCTGCCGAGATCCAAATTCTGTTTACAGAGAGGCGTCAAAAGCAGTCTGTTTTCAGATCAGAGTAAAGAAACTTATCAGTTTTATTCCGGTGACTCATTTGGCCTCTCTTGGATATATGTCCAGTAAAAGAAAGTCTATCAACGAACCTTTCTTTCATTAAAATAAAGCTTTAACAAAATCGACCTTGAATCAGCTAACAGCACACTGAAGAATCACCTCCTCTTCCGATTCCATCCTAAAGACATTGTTAGATTTCAAACCAGTTTTTAAAAAAAAATCTTTTTGTAGTTAATCCATAATATAGATCATTGCGATTCTAAATGAATAAACTGTTCATTCTAACTGCAGTATAATAACTCAGTATATTTCATTCCATTAAACTCGATTTAGAAAAACATTTTTTTTCTTCGAGTGATTTTTAACACACAAGAATAATTAATTTTATTTCATGAGGCGGGTAGGAATCTGTTAATTACTCAGTTATTACCGTCACCACTGTAAAATGAGTATCATATTATCTTAAGTAATAAATTAATTTGGTGTTAATTTGGCTCAGCCTCTTTTCCCTTCCCTGTGATGCTCTCTGTTGTTCCTCAGATCGTGCTGAGTACTTTTTATGTTGTCTGTTTAATTTTAGCATGTGCCCTTGTGTTTTTGTGTTGCTTCTATTAAACTCAGCCCAAGTCTCTCAGAACCATGATAATCATTTGGAGCAAAAAAAACAAAAAGAAAATTGTTGCACCATTCCCCAGCATCCACTTCCTGGTACTCTAAAACTCGTATTCTTTGTCGGTTGTTCATCATTAGCTGGTTAAACGCTGCTTGAATGCACTCTCTTTCAGCAAAAAGTACATACTGCACCTTTTGACCCCAACGTCATTATATTCTGGAATGTATTATTTTACTGGAGCTGAAGTGGTTACTATTAAGTCTAGACCAATTCAGACTGTAGAACAATATTTGGATCATTTCAAGATTTCATTTCTATCAATATTTACCGGTATATCTTTTATGTTTTTAGTTTAATGCCATCATTACAAAATATGTGCATTTGTTGGTTTAATGGATTTTTGAATTAAACAGGCCTTCAGTTTGTGAATAACATGGTCTAAATTAATTGATTATCCATTCGCCTTTGGCATCCTTGTTAAGTTGGAAAAAAAGCGAATATCTTACAGTTTACAACTATAACATCCAATCTTAAATCAAATATTTGTAACTAAAAAAAGACAGAGGAAGCCTTCAAAATAAAAGATAACAGAGCATGGACAGTATGGTTGAGAAAATGTGATGCTGTGGGCCTTCTTCTATTCCAAAGACCCAGGAAACCTTTTTTCCATGATAAATTCTTTGAAACATCACAGCAGCCTCTCACAGAATACTAAATATAGGATATAATAATGAGAAAACACATGGTCTGATAATTAGATGAAGAAAAAAACATTTTGTAATACCATCTCAGATCTAAAACACACAGGAAACTTAAAAGGGATAAGGGAGAACTCAGGTTTCTGAATAATCTGGATGAATTATTCACAGAGGAAGGATCAGATCCATCTGTCTGAATGCTCCAACTGTATAATGTTAATAAGAGACGATTAAGTGCGGTTCTGCCAGCAAAGCCATTGGTTGGACAAAGAGTTAACAGCAGGACTGCCAGGGTGTTAGTCGGTAACCCTGAGAAACCAAGCTGACTCTGCCGAGGGGAATGAGTTTAACAGCAAGACTGGAAAAGTTCATCTAAACTGTGAAACAAAACAGCGCGCTTTATCCAACATGTGTCAGTGAATCTGAGTATTTTTATTCAGTTTTTCCATAACTGTGTGTGTTTTGATTATCTTGGCTTTCTCTTTAGTCACTTATATGCTGCTGTCTGTTGAATTTCTCAAGAAGTGGCTTCAGGTTGGAGAGGAGGACTCTCGTGCATTCATACCCCGCTGGATTTCTTGTTTACGCACATTTCTGACTTTGAGCAAGAAGATAAAGATATTATAAGGGTATAGTTAGCTTGTTTTAGCATTTATAAAGAGTTTAAAGAGTTTTTTGCTCCCTCTGACCACATTAATGTTTGTTGTATGTGAATTATTTTAACAAATACCACACCAGTTCTGTTTCCATTTAGTTGTGGTAACTTTCCGATGTAAAAATGTCATTATCTTTAATAATGGAGCATTTCAGGGTTTTCAAATGGTTCTTATTGAAAGATGCCTGCAGGGACATAAACATTTTAGATAATCGAAATTTTTTAAAGAGTCAGTTTTTCTTAAAAAAAAAAAAAAGACCAACAGTGCTGTAAAAAAACTATTAGTCACCATAGTAATTTCTGTTTTTTAATTGGAATTAGAATTTTTGCTTTTACCGTTTCAGATCTGAGAACAGATTTTTATCTTCAGATAGATAGTCTGAGTAAATGCCGAAAGCAGCTTTAAAAATTAATCAAAAACAAACAAACCGTCTATAGATAGGCAGTACTGATTTAGATCTATGTCAGATGTTACAGGACACACACTTACATTAATTAGTTTACTCTTAGTTTACTGAATGATTAAAGGTATAGAGGACAATCTTTTATTTCCAGGTGGATCATTTAAATAAGTGGTCCTCCTAATTGTAAATCATTCTGGTGATATGTTTATGTAAGGCCTTCCTACATGCTCGCCTCGTTAGCTATCTCTTTCTGCGCATTCACACTTTTAGCCGCACATGTGTGTTGAGCTACAGTTCCAGACAGTCATTGAAGATCACCTTTCTCACCGTGGTTCTTTGAAAATGGCCGATGGTCGTAAGAGGAAAAGTGTCTACGAAGTGTATGAGAAGAAAAGAAAGGCCTCAGAAGAGACAGATATATCCCATAATGCTTTGCGCAGGAAGCTGTCCCCGCAAAGCATTCTGGGATTTGCTGTCACAGCGGCTCACTGTCGCTTCCCAACAGGGGCAAGAAATAATAAAGGCGTTACAGGCACTATATGGTGGGGGAGGATTTACATACAACCGAGCAAAAAGCAATGATCTTCTGTCTGAACGGTCAGTTAACTGAGTTCCCTATAAATTCCACTATATAGTCCCCGCTGTATGTGGACACAATAAGCTTGTATGAGCTATGAGAACAGCACATTTTCAACAGGGCGTGCACTAAATGGGCTCGTGCATGCTCTTGCACACGCTTTTTTTTTTAAAGCTGAGAGGGCGGATCTTTTAAAAAATCCTCCACAATACCTTTAAGATGGTCACGTCATAGAAGTTACTCCTTTTTACTGGTGGAAAATGGCTTTTATTGTGGATGACTGGCGTCCTAAATCCATAGAAATGGCTTTGTAATTAATACCCATAGATGTTAATAATAATTTAATTATTTTAAACTGTGGCTGGATGCACAATATCAAAAAATCTATTTTGTGTGATTGGATTGTTGAAAAATGCCAATGATAGTTTAAACTCTGTTTAATCCACATTTACCTTATTTTTCTCTTTTTGCACCAGTATACATCATCAGCACCACTCTGCAATACATGTTTTTCAGCCATTAAAACCATCTGATGACGAATACTTCCCCCATAGCTACATATAGCTAAAGTCTGATGCAAACTGACCCTGGAGCTTAGTCTGTAAATCAAAAGGATGTTGAAAAAAAACTCCTCCAATAGTCGTCAACTTAAAAATTAGAAATTTGTAGAAATTCTTTTTGAGAAAGTATACAATTTCTGATAAATCGATACATAGGACTGAATTCAATTCCCTTTTTTTTTTGCATCCCTACTCCGACACGCCTGAGCTGCATTACTGAATCCTGATGAGGGAAAAATAGGGATGCATTTCTAATTTAATAATCTGTAATTCACAAGATCTGCATTTTTAACAATCAAGCTTGTATAATTAATTTTTTTTTATTATGAATGTAATGTAACATGCTTCCTTATGTATTTGTTTATTGTCTTACACTGGAATTTTTATAGCAATGCTTTTATCTGTGAATGCAGTGCGACACATAGTGGAAATCAAATTTCCTTTGGGACAATAAAGTTTATCTGATCTGATCTGATCTTATCTTATCTTATCTTAACTGAAGCTTTTTATACGTTTCTGTTTTGTGCATTAAGCCATTAAGATTACATATGAAGTGCTCTTTGAATTTTCAGCCCTTTCTCTCCGGCTTTTGCTAATTGACTTACATGTACCACTGCTGCAAGGTTCAGACGGGGTTAGAGATAAAGCTGCTACAAAATGCAGATGGTTTGACTTCATTTGAATTGCTTTAAATGTCGATTTCATGTATCATTCATTTAATTCAATTGGCAATTGGGGATTTCATATAAGCCTTCGTGGTCCTAAACAGTTTTTCCGCTATTTTCCAGTTATCCAGAGCATGGTGTGGTGGAGATACGATCCGTGGATGTGAGGCCCCGGGCCAGGACCCTGCTTAAGTGGGACCAGCTCCAAGTGGGGCTGAAGGTGATGGTCAACTACAACATGGAGACCCCAGATGAGAGGGGCTTCTGGTACGATGCAGAGATAGTGACCATAAATCAAACCTCGCGTACCAATAAGGAGCTCCGAGTTAATATTCTCCTGGGGTGAGGATCTTTCATCCTGCTTTGATTTTTATATTCTAATTTTGCTCTGTTGCTCTGTATTAAATGATATGTCCTGGCTCTTATTTCTCCTTATAGGGGTCCTGAAGATGTAATTGGAGATTGTAAAGTTCATTTTTTGGATGAAATCTACCAGGTGGAGAAACCTGGAGCTCGGGCCCTTTCGAGCGCAGATGGGCAGTTTAAACGTATGAACTAGTCTTTCTTTAGAATTTGAACTTTTCCACTGTTCTGCCATGTTTATTTAAGGTATTTTTGAGAATATTTTTAAAAGACCCACCCTCTCTACTTTAAAAACCCGTACCTGCTCCTGAGAGGGAGCACCTATTAAACACGTGCGAGAGCATGCACGAGCCCAATTCTCTTTGTGTGCGCTCTGTTTAAAAGTTGCTGTTCTCATAGCTCATACAAGCTTATTGCGTCAGAACGTCCGCCCTAACCCCTAAATCCCTCAATCACTATATAGAGCGGGGACTATATAGTGGACTTTAAAGCAAACCGTTCGTACAGATGATCACTGCTTTTTGCCCCACTATTCATGTAACTCCTCCTCCACCACACGGTGCCTACGCCATCTTTGTTATTAATCACCGCTGTCAGGTAGCGACAGCGGGAAGCTGCGACAGCAAATCCCATAATGCTTTGTGAGGAGAGCTCTCTGTGCAAAGCATTCCAGGATATATTTGCCTCTTCTGAGACCTTTTTTCTGTTATGACTCTCGGCCATTTCAACGGACACATATTTTCATGATTTACCATAAATTAAGATCTAAAGATTTATATATTTAGCCATAGTAGGTCAATTCTTTTTAGAATAGTTATTTCCCATTTTGTCTTAGCAAATAGCTCAGGCTCCTTAAGGTCGTTTAGCATCTATTGGCAGCAGCTTTTAAGCCTTTCCACACAATCTCAGTTTAATTAAGGTCTGGAATTTTACAGGGCTGTTTTAACAATTATTCCCTTGCAGCTCTGGCTGAACAGTTGAGATTATAGTCCCGTTTGAAGGCGATCCCCAGTCTCTCCCAAATGTTTTTTCAGACTATGACGGGTCTGTTTTCTGTAGGCTCTGCAGTTTTTTGCCTCTTCTAAGCAACCTAACTACATTACTGACATGTCAGGTGTGTTCTTCAGTCTTTTTGAGGTTGATGTGATGAAGGTATATGTATGACTGGATGTTTTATGGGTGTCTGGTTTAAGCAGATGTATTCATTGGACACTTTTCCAAAATATGTTTCTAAAAAAAAAAAAAAACATCTAGTTAACCTCTACTTCTTCTTCTAATTAACTTCTACTACACTTATGTTCTCCTTTCTGTTGGTTTGCTGTAGAAAATTCACAAATGCTTGTAGTTCTAATAAAGAGAAAATACGTAAACTTAAATTTGATGAATTTCTTCCCCCGGCTGTGGTGATTGCTAGTACTAAATATGTGACTATTTGGGGTTTCATCTTGTTTGTGGCTCAAGGGAAGAGCGGACCAGAGTGCAAGCACTGCAAGGCTGACCCTGAAGCGGAGTGTCGGTTCTGCTCCTGCTGCGTGTGCGGCGGGAAGCAGGACGCACACATGCAGCTGCTGTGTGATGAGTGCAACATGGCGTTCCACATCTACTGTCTCAACCCACCTCTGGCCACCATCCCAGATGACGAGGACTGGTGAGAGAGCGGCGGAAAGAAGCTTCACTTTTAGCTGCAAGCTGCTGCATCTCACTTATTTTACAACTGCTTATTAAATGGAGTTCAGTGAGGGCTGAAGTGTATTTTAAACAGTGCTAAACTGCTGGTTTGGTTAAATAATTTCAAATATAACGATAATGCATCTACATGTTGCAGGTAATTCTTTGCCTGACTTTTTTCCAATTACAAGGAATTACAGGAATTTATTGATTAATTTTATTATTTTTAATGACTATCTTAAATATTTACTACTTAATGTATAATTTATTCCCTTAAAAAGTTAGATTTCTTTTCTCAAATCTTATGTTTTATATAAATAATATTATGGAATAATGATATTTTGGAGTCTGTGTGACTTTTATTCATACAGTAAACCTATGATAAATTGAATACCAAGCAGGAAATGATTTTCTTTTACCAGGTACTGTCCAACCTGTAAAAATGACACCAGTGAAGTCGTCAAGGCTGGCGAGAAGCTTAAAGCCAGCAAGAAGAAAGCCAAAATGCCTTCAGCTACCACTGAGAGTCAGAGAGACTGGGGAAAGGTAAGACCACAGGGCACCGTGTGGGGCATGCAACACTGCTGGGACAGATACCTACTCCTAATCTAAACAATCAGTTCAACGGTGATGTGAAAAACAAAACAAAAATGGAGTCAAAGGTATTTTGGAGGATATTTGCGAGTTTATAAAAAAGACCTGCCCTCTCCACTTAAAAAAAAATTCACAAGCCCCAGGAACACTTAGAGGTGTTCAGTAGTTTCTATAGTATTGTAGGGAGACGACTTAAAAGTGTCAACATTTCTAAAAGCCAAAATGAAAAGAAATTGCTTTCAACATTGATATAAGACAGAATGCCTGATTTGCAACATAGCCACTTAAGTTTGATCCAGTCTAACTGACTGTTTTTATTTTTGGCTTTCAACCAAATAATAGATGCCAAATCAATAAAGGCTGCAGACCTTTTTAGATCACTGGGCTCTTATATTAGTTCTGGTTCAGAACAGAAATTAGAGCCGATTAGAACTCTGGAATAGTCCTTAAGTGCACTGATAAATCAAATACATTGTTATTTTAATTATTATAATTAAGGTGTTTTGTGCACCATGCAAATGAAACCCCACTAGATTAATCAGTGCTTCCAAATCTTTGGTTCCTGGTTGTTTTATAGTTGTGTTTAATGGATCTTGTATTTCTGAGCACACCACAGCCTTCTCCCTCAGATCGACTTTAAGTCCTACATAACATCTGTGCAGTGGATTTGTTTGCCAGAAAATGCAAGGAGAGATTAACTGAGTTATTGACACTTCAAATGGTTGTTTAAAAAAAACAACCTTTTATCTTACCAGGTTTAATGCACTTGGAAGAGCAGAGTTAGACTTCTACATTAAACAAATAGGTTTTTACCTTGAATTGAGAAGGTAGAAAATAAAAGAACTTTAATTTACTTTTGTTTTTTAAAGTTATTTGTTCTTTTTTTTCTGCTCTCCGGATTCCTCTCATGTGTAAAGTCATGAACATGCCTTCTCCTTGACGCCCCTCTCCGTGGTGTAATGTGAACAATGCCATTAGGCTTGACTTACCCACTTTCCTGGAACAGGCAATGGAAAATAACTCCCTTCTTTACCAGAATTACTTTTTTTTTCGGTTGTTGTTTTTTTCATGTGTACTAATTGAAAACAGCCGGCTTATGCACTCCGGGTACATTTAAGTGTTCTGAGTCACACTCTGTTCATCTTGACTCTAAAACTTTCACGACTCTATAACTCTTTAAATAAACCACTTTTATTTTATTGTAGTGACACTTTAAAACTCATTTGTAACAGCTAAATCTGGACCTTAAACTTCTAAAACGTTGACTTTGTCTTTAAATCTTCAAATACTGAAGCTTTCGCTTCATTTGAGTCGCCATTTTAGGGCTTCTTCAACTTAAAAAAACAACAGCTTTCTTCTGTGATGAAATTGCAGGGTATGGCCTGCGTGGGGCGCACTAAAGAATGCACAATTGTTCCGTCAAACCACTATGGTCCTATTCCTGGAATTCCTGTGGGGACCACCTGGAAATTCAGAGTGCAGGTTGGCCCTTTTTCATTATTGTTGTTCGTTTTAAATGTAAAATCTTTTTTATCTTCTCATCTGTCTTAATTGCTTCATTACTCAGGTGAGCGAGGCGGGCGTTCACAGGCCACACGTCGGCGGCATCCATGGGCGCAGCAACGACGGCTCCTATTCACTGGTGTTAGCAGGGGGCTTTGAGGACGAAGTGGTGGGTTTGTACTCTGGCTGCTAGTCTGTTCAGCCACATGTTAAGCTCAGGAGTGTCTCATTCGCTCCTTTTCTGCTGCTGTTTGTGAACATCTGTGGTAGGACCGGGGAGATGAGTTTACCTATACAGGCAGCGGGGGTCGCGACCTCTCAGGAAATAAAAGGATTGGAGAGCACTGTTTTGACCAAACGCTGACTCACATGAATAGGTACAACACCTATAAAAGAAAATGCTTTTAAAAACCCTCTTTGCTTTAGAAATATGACTGCCAATACCCATTTTGTTAATAACTTGACCGATTGCAGGGCTTTGGCTTTAAACTGTGATGCCCCCTTGAATGACAAAGATGGAGCAGAGTCCAGAAACTGGCGGGCCGGAAAACCGGTGAGAGTGGTACGCAGTTCTAAAGGTAGACGCATCAGCAAATACGCTCCAGAGGAAGGAAACCGCTACGATGGTATTTATAAGGTAGAGCATCAACATAAAGACCTTGTTCCAATGATGCTACTTGAAATGGCACTGGTAAGGCACAAATGCTTTCTTCGTAGGTGGTAAAGTACTGGCCAGAGATTGGGAAGTGTGGTTATTTGGTGTGGAGGTACCTGCTGAGACGGGACGATCTGGAACCAGCCCCGTGGACCCCTGAAGGACTGGAAAGGATAAAGAAACTAGGGCTCGCAGTTCAGGTTAGACTTAGGGAACAAAGAAAGTCGATCCTCATGCAATTTACTGCAAGTAACAATCTGCAAAGGAGAAAATATATTTTTCACAGCACTATACATGAAACAAAGGTTCTTCTTGATTTCTTTTCCTCCAGTACCCGCCAGGCTATTTAGCAGCCATGGCTAACAAAACAAAGAAGGAGGCCTGTGCTAGACCCGGTCGTGGCGGTCGGAGCAAACACTATCCTGGGAGAGGGAGGCCGCGTAGGCCCAAGATTAAAGCAAAAGAGGTGGAGGAGGAAGAGGGGGCGGCGGCAGCAGAGGACGAAGAGGAGGACGTAGAGGGGGGTGAGGCTCCAGAAGCCCAGATGGAAGAGGATGCACCACAAAGTAATGGAGAGCCAAAGACAACCGGAGAAACTGGTGGGTGCTATTAGAAACGATGCAGGTCAGAAAAGGTGTTATGAGAAGAGGAGAGGTGAGCGTAGAGTGATCAATAAGAACACGACTCATGAATAACTCCAAACATTCAAATTGCTTATAGATATACTTAGCTTTTATTGCTTAAGAGCTGTTCTTTTTCGCTCTGCTGTGTTTTAGTACTGCAAAGCTAGCTTCTGCTTCCTAAGTAGCTATGATGTCTTTAGCAGAGCCGTCACCAGAGACCGAGCCTCCGTCTAAACGCGTCAAGATCGAAGAAACGTTCCAGCTGACCGAGCAGCAACAACAGCTGATCCAAGATGACACAGCCAACAAAAAACTGTGGAGCGAAGCCATGGATCACCTTAAAGAGGGACCGGTATAACTGCTAAAACATTTTAGTCTTATATCAGAAAACAGATCATCGTACAATTAATAAAAAGTTCTGAACTTTAAGGTTAAAATCGTTAGCTAAAACTAACATGATGAAAACTGGAATCAAAAAACATTTTCTTTAACTTAAATCAAAATTAAAACTAGGCTTTGCTAAAAACCCAAACTAACTGAAACAGTAATAACAGTTACAAAAAATTAATTACAACCAATAGACTTTTAAAAGAGCAGTTGTTTAGTTTTTGTTTCTGTCTACCATAATGCAGTCAGGTCATTTATGTCACTGCAGTGATCCATCCTTATCTGGAATTTTATTTTTCTTTTTTTCTGCTTAGTCTTGCCCTTGGCATGTAATTCATATTACATAAAAACGACTATACTAGTGAATACTAAGCAATACTAAACTAAAATGACGCATTTTTAAAAAGTGAACTCTAAACTACTGTATTTTCGGACTATGTTTTTTTTTTTTTAACTGGAAATGTACAAATATTCATGTATAAGCCACACCGGGCTTTACTCCACTAGTATCTACTAAACTGAAGCTGTTAGGGGAGCTCTACACATAGCTAGAGTTGGGACGATGAAGAATGCTAGCTAGTGTTAGCTTTTTGGCTCAGAGCAAGGATCCTTCTTTCCTACAGAAAGAAGGATCTTTGTTAGCCCTTTATTTCTACTCTGAAGGAGTTGCGCACAATCTCTTTCGATGTTTCGACAAGCTAATGCTGCTTAATGTCAAAATGTGTCAGTTCAGGACTTTTTTTCTCTGTCATGCCTGCTGCTAACATGTTGTGCTAAATCAATATAAATCCCTTATTCTTATTCTTTTCCCTCTGGCAGTTAGGAAAAATCCACTGAAAAAGCACACCTGTCACTACCCGCTCCATCCTGGAAGCATGTTCCATACCATCGGCTCATTTGCGTATGCGCAACCAGATATACATCCGGGTTGGCCTTGGTTTTATTTTGTTAAAAATAACTAAATTAAATTTTTCCCTCCCCAAAAATAGTCAGCATTCAAAACTATAATGTGTTTAAGGTTAATAATATATTTCCTGAGAAAATAACGGTCTTAAAATCCTTTCTGTTTTATTACTCGTCTGTGAACGATCTCTACCAGAAGTGGGATCCTATGCTACTTCCTGGAGCTAACTTTTTCGGCTTTGGATTTAAACATAAATCTAGTCTTTTTAAGTTTTATGTTTTGCTTTTGTGTTAACAGTATGATATATAGTGAGTGACCTACAGAAAGAAACAACTAAAAGGAAGATAAACATGGTTTAATCATATTTTGCCATACTACTCTTGAGCGTGTTCGATGATGACATCAGACAAGCAGTTTAAAAAAAGATAATACAAAAGGCATCAAAATTGTTGACAAGAAGTTTTTTAAAGATGTGTATTAGCATTCTTTAGTTGGTCAAGGATAGAAATAAGTAATTTTAATACCATAATTACATTAATTATTGAAACACGGATGTATTTCTAGTTGTCATGCACAAATTAGCTGATGGTACGGATTGTGCTTCCGGGATGGATCGGGTAGTGACAGCGCCTTTGTATAAGCCGCATGGTTCAAATGGCAGAAAAAAAGTGCTGGCTTTTAGTACGGAAAAAACAGTAGGTAACAATCACTAAATACAAATTAAAACTAGAATAAAACAGAAAATCAGAAGTCTAAAAAAAACATTTTTAAACTGTTAAAACCTTGACACAGAGGCGTAATAAAACACTTATTGTAGCAGAAAAAGGAGAGAAATGTGTGCTGGACTGTTTTTACTTTATTTCCTTTCTTAACAGTGCTACATCAGTCATGCATTTTAACTAATGATAGCAAGCAAAAGTAAATAGCAGAATAATCTGTCTGGTGTTGACAGAGGTGTTTGGGAAGAGTTTCATGGGTGCAACCCACGTATTAAGCTCTCCTTTTCAACTCACTAATGTATTGTTATTGCAAATGTGCATAATTTAAAGAAAAACAAGCAAGCTTTCCAACCATAAAAGTTTTATTATTGGGGGGGGGAAAAAACAAACCAAACAAAGTGTTCTCACTTTTTTTTTTACTGCCAAGTGGATAAATGAAAACCCTACATGAGCCTGGGGAAATAAGGTTTGCAAAGTACTCCCCATTAGATCTCTGGGTTGGAACCTTTAAGGTTTGCAGACACTTGGGAAATTGCCCAGTTCACCTTTCAATATGTTTAAAAGATTCCTTTTATGTACCTTTAATTCAAAAATAAAACAAAAACATCAGAGAAGTCTGAATCTGAATAAATTTGACTTTTTTTTTCCTATTTTGCTCTGCTTGTTATAAACGTTCTATTTCTTTAATATGCTCCCTTTAAAGAATTTCCTGCGGAAACTGGAGCAGATCTTTATGTGCGTCTGCTGCCAGGAGCTGGCCTTTCAGCCTATCACCACCGTCTGCTCACACAATGTCTGCAAGGTACACACCCTGTGCATCCTAGCAGATTAGATTTCTACATAGCTCCTGTAAAAATAAACAAAACTCCATTTCCTCATAATTACTCTGGCATTTTGTGTCCCCAGACTTGTCTGCAGCGGTCATTTCGGGCAGCGGTGTACACCTGCCCCGCCTGCCGACACGACCTGGGCAAGGACTATGTCATGAACCAAAACAAGAAGCTACAGATTCTGCTTGACCAGTTCTTTCCCGGCTACAGCAAGGGCCGATGAGGTCCAATTTAGATGTATGGGTAGAACACGTGCACATAAGCATCCATTCTGTGCACCCCTGTATACAGTCAAGTACTTAGAGCTCCACTTTGAAATGCATTGCACTCACATAATGTACTTACCCACGGGCAAATGTATTTTGCATTTACAGCCATTTATGTATACAATCATTTACACACAAACCACCTCAGTTAGAGACTGACCTCATCTGCTGAACTTGGACCATCTCCATTTACATCACCAGCCTGAAAATTTGAACTAAGGACATTTCTTCACTTCACTACTCCAGCCACCAGAAAGTGGGCACAAAAAACAAACGCACAATCCCACCCACCATCTCAAGGTTTTTTTTGTTTGTTTTTTCCTCCTCTGCGATTTTTTGTTTTCCTTCCACTATGATGCCCGCTGGCTCTGATAATTGACGCACAGTACATTGTTTGGGTGCAAAACTCCTGCTTGAAAGCGACACTTAAATTCCTGCCAACCTGCTTGCATTTTATGTACCATGCAGTTTTACACAAACTTGCAGAAATCAGTTTTAATAATCCCTCATTTGCAGTGTGGAGGTTTGTGGTGCTAAAAGGAGCAGGTTTTAAGAAAAGATTCTCAAAGTAAGGAATTTTACACTGTTTTATAAAAGAAAATGAAGCACTATATTAGTGACTCGTGCTGTACGCTTCTTTCTAGGCATGTTTGATGTATTTTCCTGCATCAAGTTTCCGTGCTTGTGTCACTGCAAGTCGTCTTATTTCTTTCTATTCTAACAGGAAGGTCGAAAAAGGAGAACATGTCAATCAAAAGCTGTTACTACATTCTTTTTTATTTCTTTTTTTTTTGGTAACGTGTCTTTTTAGGTTTATCTGAACCCCCACCTACATTTATACTAAACTCAAACCAGGGAAGAATTTTTGTAAAGATTTACTGCTAAATTGAATGAACCTGATCTTAATTTGACACCAGAAGAGTATGATTCTAAATTGCATTATAGGCATTAAGGTTTATCATTACTCACAAAGAAAAAAAATTCAAAAAGGAATAAATTACATTTACTACAGAAAAGCAACAATTATACCTTTTGCTATGGTAATAGTTTATCATTGTGATTTATAGCCTTATAATAATCATAAATAAATCAGACTGAAACAAAATGTTAGCTGGTTAATTAGTCAGGGTGTCTGCACAGACATGCTCTTTACAGCTCCCAAATGCTATTTTAAAAGAACATCGGTTTAGTTAGATTACATTATAACACATGATTACCATATAAGAGGTAGCCTCCTTTCAGCCAGCTGGACTCCAGTGCACAGCAACACCCCAGGAAGGTTCTTTATGCTGCTATAGAAATACTTGATCATCCCAACACATTCTGAAAATGCTGCCATAGATATCCAGCACTTTCCTAAACTCTTTTTGTTTTTACCAGTTATACCAGTATAAACCTGCACAGCGGCAGTTTGAAAAATATGTTTTCAGCTAAGATAGAACAGCAGATGAAAGCAATGCGAGAGTGGTAACCTGGCTGTTTCCAACCAAAGAGGGCAACAGGTGCTCCAGCAAATTACAGAGTGAGAGAAATTAAGTGTTCGTTAACCTTTTAAATCATGCTAAATTGGTCAAGTAGACTCCCAAAGTAGATCTAAGATCCTCTAAATTAACTCAACATAGACACGAGTATGTCTGAAGATTAGCCAATCAGGACTACAGCTCTACTGCCTTAAGCATCATATAATGCAGGAGGGAATATTTTCCAACTTGTTCCGACTTGAAAATCAATGCCTAAGATCAAACAGAAAGTCTTTGATATCTGTTTTAAAAAAACATACACATTTGCTCTTCTTAAAGAGATTTACAGGATGAAAGTGCAAAAGAACAGATCGTTCTCAAATATAACTATAGCTCACATATAACACTATCAAAAACATTTTGAAATGGAAAATGTTTCCCCTTAAATGGATATAAAACATAAAAACTACTGTTTATCGACATACTAAAAGATGTATGTCCTTATTTCATTGTGTACACGAGATAAAACGTGTAGCCCCAAATAATAACCTTAAATCGACAGCTGTGATCATTATACAAACAATCCCATTTATACTATATGAATGAGTCCCACATTTTTTCTTTTAAAAAGTAATAACCAAAGCTCTAAGGTTTTCAGAAAGTACACATTATCTATTATGGATGAGGAAAAACAAATGTTTTTATTTAGCTTGGCAAACAACAGAAGCCCTTAGAAAAAAATCAATCTAATTAGCACATTTTCAATTGCTGTAACAATACCTAAGTAGCAATATTGTAAAGATCTTGAAGATTCTCACTTTTTATTATTTTTTTTATCCTGAGTCACATTGACTTGGATTGTTTCCAAAGTTTATAACCCAAAGTGGTCTCGATATCCATATATGTTCACAATATGGATCGTTTTTCCCCACCATTTCTAGTGAAGAATAATTCTAAATGTGTTACATGCTTTAGAATGAATGCAAAATGATGATTCATTGTGACCTAGACACATTTGCACCTGCTGGTGTGGTACTTTAAAATGCCCCAGGTTGGCAGGTTTAATGGGAAATAAAACAAATGAGATGGAGAGCAGAGCCAGAGTTTTTACACCGACCCATAACGTGGACAGAGGTCACCTGCAAGGTCACGGTTCAGATAATTAATTAGATCAGTTTGGGTTTTGTTTTTTTTGTTTTTTGTGGGGAAAATGTAGCTCATGTTCAACTGCAAGTCCGTTAGCCCTCGTGGCAAAGCCAGGTTATATACGTCAGGCTAAATTTATACTTTAAGCCTTTCAGGCTCACATGTTTCTTTTCATATGCAAATCAGCACTTGTTCATCTGCAGGCTGTTTGTGGTGATGTCCTTGTCTCTGTCGTCATTCAGGATTTTTTTTTTTTATCAGCAACATGCAAATACAAATGCTACTACAGTCTTTAAAGCTAAATGTGATGTGTATTATCTTGAGATTATTTTTTTTTTTTTGCATTGACTATGAAGCTAACAGCCCTCCTTTCTTTCTGCTGTGACCTTTGCTCCTATTCTGCTCTTTTTCTGCTCTCCGTGAACCTATAGTACTAACTTCTAGACGTCTTGTGGACGCTTGGCTGCAGTGCAGTTTTATTTTTTATTTTTTTGCACTCTACTGAAACACAGGTTGCGCGGTCACATTTGGTTATCCTTGAATGCTAACTGTTATCTGTCTGTACTCTGATTTTCTTAGTTGATTACGTTCGGTTTTAATCATTAGTCGGTTTTATGTTGGAAGCCTCAAATATTTTGCAGCACATGCCAATCTGAAAAGTTTCGTCGCTTCATATTGTGATCTGAAATTTTATACATGTCATGATTCTTGATATGTACCAATTAAATATTTGGTTTCAGGAAAAAGAAACGTCTTTTTTTTTGTATGCGGATTTCATAAAATAAAAGAATAAGTTCATGTTGTTCTAGTTGGATTAAGGCTTATTGTAATAACTTAATCATTCTGGAATTACCCTTTGACAGAACATATAGCCACATCCCTTCTCACAGTAAAAAAAAAAAGTACATTATCTCTCTGCGTGACACATGTAAATATACAAACTTGCACGTTTTGGGTTTTATAAAGAACTTTAGCCCATTATTTTGAATAATTTTACAGAAAGCTGTAGTCCCAATTTGACTATTGTCATTCATGTGTGTGTTTGGGTAAAGACATTCAGCACAAGAGTCTGGAGCTCCATTCCTATAGTGTTTTCCTCTGTTTACCCTGCAAACTGTTAACTAGGAGCTAAAGATGAAGCACCTCTCACATAAGGCAGTTTTTAAGAGAGCATCCCATAAGAAGCATGGATACCTGCCAATTATACTTAAAAAAAACAATTTAAATTATAACCAGACTTTTGAAGTTTAGTTATAATAAAAATGTTTGGTCATAACTCAAGTTCCCCAAAGGTTATCGTTTAGGAGACAAATTATTCATGTTGTACATGAATGATATATGCAATGCACTTATTGTTCCATGGATTTGAGAAAGGCTTTTTCGACATTAGCAGATGTGAATTTTGAACCAAAGAGAAAAGATCTTAGAGTATTGCGACAAACTTATCTATTGAAGCCCACATACAACTATGAATATCACAGCAATTTTAGGAAACAAAAAGCTGCTGAGAGGCTGAGGTGGAGCTGTTCCTTGTCCGACATGCTTGTTGAAAAAAAGGATCCGCTGAGATCAAAATGGTGCTGATGTGAACTTTAACATAAAAAAGGTATAAGCAACGCAAGATAATTTGTTGCATGAAGTGAAGGGAAGATTACAGATACTAGTTACATTGTGCTTGATCCACATAATTAAATAGGTCTTCAAGCTGACTTATGCCGCTGACTACTTTCAAACAAAATACACAAAGAGAAAAAAGTTTTTTTTTTTGGTTTTATTATCACAGAAGCACAACAGGTACCACTATGCAGGACATAATACCACCATGAACAAAAGAGTAAAGGAATGCTAATGCCAGAGGAGAACCTAATCCAGAAACACCACAGCATTTTACTTCCAACCTTAAAACAATACTCTACTATAGCCTGACAAACTTGGGAAAAAAAAAAAAAAAAGTCAAAAGCTATTTGGATTATTTGTTTTGTTTCATCAAGTACCATTTGTCACTCACTAGCACTTCGATTTTATACTGAATCACTTTCATACACATGCATTGGCTTTCGCCAATTTAAATGCACATCTAAAATTAAGTGTTTCACTACTCGGCTACAAAGTACCAATTATTGGGGCTAATTAGTCAATATAAAGGGTATTACTGTGACAAAAAAAGCTGGTCCCATTGAGGAGTATTTCAGTCTTGGGAGAATTATTTAGAAAACTTAACAATTTAGCCAATCCCAACAACACTGGAGTATCCAAGTATAAACCTGATGACCTTTTTGTACATTCAAGAAATTAAAGTCTATTGTAAATATAGCCAACTAGCTATGAAAATGGCAAAAGGATAAAAAAAAAAGTATCTTTTTAAGACCAGATTAATATAAACATACATATATTTATATGCTTGAAACAAAAACACAATGCTAACTTTTCCCTTGATCAGAAATTTATGGTGAGCTTTAATAGGAAAGCTACAGCTTCGGATTCAACACAAAACAGCTATGGATGTAAATAAAGCTGAAACTTTAAGATAATGGGGAGCATGTAAACTAGCAGGTGGTGAAGAAGATGTCTGGAGGACTACTCATCATCTGAGGAGTCCCTGTCGAAATTATGGGCCATGAAGAAGACGTCAGGTCGAGGAGGGACGAGGGCATGGCCCGGTTTCACAATCTCAAAGCCCAGGAAACTGAAGGTACGCACCAGTTTAGCAGGATCATCTCTGTTCTTGTAAAAGCAGACAAAAACACTAGCAACTTGT